GTGTCCCAGGTGCAGTGTTCTTAAAATCTCTTCATAAGCCCTCATCATTATACTGTGTCCAAGGAGGAAACTGTACTGAGATGACCCTTTGGGAGTCCCAACAAGCTATGGACCACAACTTCTGAGCTGACTCCTCCATCTTCAATTTAACCCGCTCAGCAGATCCCACCTGAAGCCACAGTTTAGAAGGGACCTTTTTAAACTAAAGGCACCCTGGCCTGGCTGAAACAAATGTAGGACAGGATGAACTTGTCTGCAGCCATCCCCCGACAGAGTTTCAAACATGCTTATTTGGAACAAGGCTGTGCATGTATGTCCTGGGATCCTAGTAGCAATACTTTTTTATTTGGGGCCCTTTTCTACCCCGAGTGGGTTGATGACCACTGGATTTTCAGAGCTGTGAAGACAGTTAGTCCTTCCCTCACCCTCTCTTAGTGGGGTTCACATCCCAGGTACTGGTAGGCTGTGAAGGCAGTTCACCTGCTGATTATGACAGAGAGCTCGAAGTTCAAACCCAGGGTTGCCCTTGTCAGACCAAGTAACCACCTTCCTTGCCGGTCAAAGGAGCCTAATAAGAATATGTATTTCCAGAATGACTACGATCCCAAAAAAGACTTGGAATAACCAGGCAGCATTTCAGACCCCGGGTACGAAACTGCAGCAAGCTGCCCGTATCTCAAACCGCTCCTGTGAGTTGCAAAATCTGGGAGCCTGAGAATTGAGTGGCCACAGTTAGGGACAAAGGGGTGCGAGGCGGGAAGGAAGAAACTGCAGGGACAGGATGGTGGCTAGAGGGGCAGACGGAGAACCCACCCAAAGCCTGGGGCACTGTTTCTCCTGCAAGAGGAGGCGGCGGCGAGCCCTTTCTCCAATCAGACATGGCAATGCTGGAGCCACGTCTGCGACCTCGTCCAATCTCGTCCCCCGAAGGGCGGGAACTCCCAAGTTCCTACCTGCACCTGTAGCAGCGGCCGCCACCTCTAGGGTTATTTGCTCTGCAGCTCACTGGCTTGCGGACTGCCCCGGGGATCCTGGTTTCTCCACGCACTCAGCAAATTCAAGCAGGTGGGTAGATGCCCCTTTCTCGCGCGAGGACCGTGGACGTGTAGGAAGGTTGAATGCTTGCTCCCTGGCGAGCAGCCGGAGCCCCAGCTCCTGGCGCCTCCCCGGCGGCGTCAGCAAGGGAGAGGGACACGCCGGAGAGTCAAAGGTTACTACCTAGGACAGTTTTCCAAGGCCTTCCCCTGGAGAGGTGAACTTGGTAGCCCCCGGACCCCCAACCACGGCGCTGCAGCTGAAGCCCGGGGCGGCAGCTTGCAGAAGCTGCTGCGTCTGGGGACACTCGCAGCTGCACTCGCCTGGGCTGAGACTGCAGGAAGTGTTCGCTCCCCTCCGCCGGCAGGCACACCTTCCAGAAGCCTGACCTCCCCAGCTGGCGCCCAGATACCGGGCCTCGACTTCTGGGGTGCCCCGAGAACGTCACTGGGTGCTGTGTGCTGCGGGTGCCAAGCTGTATCGCCGGGTGAGGCAGAGCGAGTGAACGATCCCCAGGGAGGGCGGTTGTGCGCCTGCCAGCCGAGGCAGAGCCCGGGGCGGGAGTGTTGCCCGGAGGTGCTCCGCCTGGTCTCCAGGGCCCTACCTCTCTGAGCCCGAGGGGCCGTTGTGGGCCGCCAGCGCTCCGCGACTGCGCTGGCAGGAAATTTGCTAATGAATCAACTGTCTCACACACTCAATTAGTGCTGAGCCTTTCCGAGCTCACAAAGTTGATCGTGGTGGACAGAAGACAAGGAGGTACAGGGAGGAGAGAGAGCACGAGCGAGCTTTCTACACCACCACCCCCTCCGCGTCCCCCACAAAGAGCCGTGAGTTTGAGTGGGTTTTGAGAGCTAGAAAGCAGCCTAGAGACGCCCCATCGCCGCCTTGATCTGCCAGGTATACCCCGCTCTGCACTAAGCCTAAGGGCGTGGAAAATTTTGGGTTTTTGGTTTTTTTGGGTTTTTTGTTTTTTCTTTCCGTCTTCCATTGTTTGTAAGTTGGTCTAGACTCTGGACCTAGAGTTTGCCTCCGGGCGTTCTGGGGAGTGCTGGTCCTGTTCCGACCTCCTTTCGGTCCACAAACACAGCTGAAGGAGCCCTGGGGCCGGGGTTGAACCCAGTGGAACCTGGGAATGTCCCGCCTCTCAAGTGAATCCAGCACTGTCTTCTTGTTAGTTCGTTTCCCATAGACCCGGCACAGACGACGGGCAGAGGAGTCTCACTGCCGGGATGAGTACTTTGAGAGTAAATAAGCAACTTATGCTTTACTCCTCTACAAAACTGTGGAGTGGAGGGTGTGTATGCGCGCGCGCGCG